TTTCTTTCTTTTTTTTTTTTTTTTGCAATTTGCAGATTTTGACACTTCGGTTTGGTCCACAGACTTGCAAGAATATTTCTTCAACAAGAAATTATGGTACAAAAAACAATTTATTTAGGCCACATGCAAAAATTAAGCTAATCTGGACCAAACAAAAAAACACTTCCAAAATCGTTACTTATTCCCTTCTACCACTAGCTTCTTCAATTATGAGTGTACATCTAAGAAGTCAATGACGGTAAATTTGGAATACAGTCACACCTCTCTAACACGGACACCAATGGGGCAGATCTGAGTGTCCATATCATAGAGATGGCCATATAAAAGAGGAAGAGATTATATGAACGTTGGTATCTCTGGGACTAAGTTAGCTGTCCTTAATATAGAGGTGTCCTTATTATGGAGGTGTCTGTTGGGAGAGGTTCGACTGTTCCTGGGGAAAAAAATCAAAATGCTCCATTTAAGGTTAGACTAGATAACCAATGACAAAAGTTATTTATGAAGTATCTACCTGGATAAACAAAGTGTCAAGGGTGCACAGGCACACTTTTTCCAATTGAATACACCTTTGTGCAATACTTTACAACCGCTACTGTACCTGCAAAAAGGCAATGTCTCCCAGAAGTCCTTCTTTTTCATCAAGTAATAATTGCCTAATATGGGAAAAAGAAAGGTAAGACCAAGTCTGTTCCAGACCTGCTCAGAGGTAGCCAATAGCTGGGGCAGGGGGGGGGGNGGGGGGGGGGGGGGGGGGGGGATTCCCATGTGAGAAGGTCAAGAATGCTTGTCAAAAAATTTGAATTTTAAAACCTCTAAGGGAGACCTATCTTGGCATGGCACAAGCTATATTTGGCCCCTAAAAGATAGAGAATACAAAAGCACAAACCGACACAACATAGGATGATTTTTTGAAGGTGTACTACATTTTGGCTGGCCAAACCAGCCTTGTTCAGGTACAAGGAAAATTGTACATTGGGACGTGTTTTTATGTAGCCGATAAAAACATAAAAACATAGACACAAAAACACGTCCCAATGTAAAATTTTCATTGTACCTGAAGAAGGCTGGTTTCGCCAGCTGAAATATAGTACACCTTCAAAAAATCATCCTACGTCGTGTCAGTGTTTGCTTTTGTATTCTTCATTTTATATGTAAAGCCAATTAGATCACTATTGATCCAACGTATATCAGCCAGATCATCGTTCCAGTTGCTTGCTTAAACATTTTATAGTCCTAAAAGATACCACTTTAAAACGGACATGACAGAGTTTTTAATTATTTCTTCAAGAGCAACCCTAAAAGATACCTTGTTCGCTCAAAATAGCGGTGTTTCATCCTGAACAACCTAAGTTAGGCCAAAATCTATGATTTACACCCCTAAGGGAGACAATGAGCATCCCGAACCTTTTCACATGGGATTTCCCCCTCTCCCCTGTGAGCTGATGGCTTATCAGTTACTTTACCATTAGCTAGCCTTACAGAGGGTGTTGAATAGTTCACTGAAAAATCTACATCTCCTCAGATATAAGCCAAAGTTCACAGGTCTTGTGATCTCAAACTTTTTTGGCAACACCATTTTGGAGCTTCTATTTCTTTTGCAAAGATTTTAGTCCCACCAACTCACAAAGTCTTGAATTTGCTATTGGCCTCTCCTCTTAGGTGTCCTGCGGGGCACAATGAGGAATAAGATGACACGAGACTCCTCTAAGACAAATAAAGCCAGCAGCAAAAAAAAACATTTCAATGTCAAACCACTTATGACTATTTTTATCTGCACTTTTCAAAAAAAAATTGTCAAAAATTTGAAACAGGCACAAGTTATATGAATTTGAACAATTAGATTTCAAATTTCCAACGCCATCTGGTTGCTTGACGGCTTGATTGAAGTTTCATTCAGTTGAAATAAAATAAATTGGAAAAATGTAGCTCCATTGTGTAGAGGAACAATACCTTAGATGATCAGTAATTCTATCAATTTCAAGTGCATTCAGTTTGTCATTCATGGAATCCAGATGATCGCTGAGAGAAGATGTACACCTTAAACAGAGGTTAAGTTCATTAGTCATGATAAACAAACGCATGTGGGCAGGCAGGCAGGTAAACAGACTAGAGGATATAGGAAGAGTTTGGTGAGTGAGTGGATTGGTTAGATAGTTAGGTAGGATGGTAGGTGAATGGGTGGGTAAGTACTGTTTGGTAGGCAGGTAGGAAGGCAGGTAGGTGAATGGGTGGGTAAGTACCAGTCAGTTGGTTGGTAGATAAGTAGTAGGAAGGTAGGTAGGTAGCTGAATGGGCGGGTAGGTACCAATCGGTTGGTAGGTAGATAGGCAGTAGGTAGGTAGGTGAATGGGTCGCTAATACTGGCCAGTTAGTAGGAANATTGTACAACTTCGAAAATAACCACTGACCTCATTTTGCAAATCTAAGGTCTCGTCCACTAAATCTTCTCCCAGAGCTTCTTTTATCTCTAGTCTTTCACTTTCAGGTACAAACTCTTCAATTAGTCTCCATAATGACGTCCTGCTTTCAAACGCCTCAAGTTGCCATTCCATTGAAGATCTTTCCGACATCAAGCTTGATAAGCAATCTTCATTCAAGCGCCTCTTAAAATAGCAACTTCACAAGACTACTCGAGGCCGTGTAATTTTGACATTTTACCTTCATTTCAAAGAAATAATATTTTTATTGTGGGCTTCTTGTGGCTTCTCTACGATTTCCAAAACATCGTTTTCGTGAAGTCAAGGACGCCATGTTTGTTGCTTGGACAAGAAAAACTTGGTAACCAGGTATCAAGCCGAAGAGGCTTGGCTGCAATTTCTCCCTAGACCTTAGTCTCCTCCGCAGCCGTTTTTTGGGATGTCACGCAACGCTCCCCCCGAAGAAAGCCGTTTCTTTGGGGGGAGCGTTGCGTGACATCCCCAAAAACGGCTGCGGAGGAGACTACCTAGACCTCGGCCAGGCTCGATCGTGTCTGGTCTCAGTTTCCCGAACAGCGGCTAGAGGTCGAGCCTAGCCTTGCCCTGTCGAATTTTCGACGAAAATGCTGCCGGTATACGTAGGATCTGTAATAGATCTGGTCAGCCAAAGCTTAACGGGACAATGACATGATAGAGTCCAAACTGAAAGCCAAGAATTGCAACCGTGGACAGCCGTTTCGACCTGGTTGGGTCTCGTCAGGACGGTGTAACAGCTCAAAATAGAACGACCGGCTGGTGGACCGATCGTCCACCAAATGCACATGGTAATGAGCTCAGATGAAACCAGGAGCCATAATCGGGGATCCCCGATTATGGCTCCTGATGAAACTCAAATCCAAATACTTGCACATTGTTCAATGTCACATGCAAAACGCGTGAACCTAAACAATATAGGCGACATCCAGAATATCATATTGTTGTCGCGATAAGGAGATTGCGGACAGACAAAAACTGTCCCGCAGAAAATACTTGGCCAAACCATGTTATAAATGAGTAGCACATCGGATCTAAAAAGA